CGAACGGCCGAGCGCACACAGACGCGTGACGTAAGCGCTTCTTACTTGTGTTGGGGCTCGAGAGCCGCGAGCCCGGTAGTAGATATCGCATCACTGGACCACTGAGAGGAGGAGGAGGCTCAGGAGGAGCTTCGGGCGCCGGCGGAGCAATTCTAGAGTAAGTAATCATTTGTTATTTATTATTATTATTTACGAAATGTTGTACACAAAATATTTGAAATATTGAGTAAAATATTCAATAAAATATTTGCAATGTTTAATATTTATATGATTCTTAAAAATTTTGAACATATACAATTTTAATTCCAAATAACTTAATTAATAACTTAATTAAACTTTTTTTAAATTAATATTTTATTAGACTTTTGCTTAGATAAATGAATAAAAATTTAATGTACGCAATTATAATTTCATAAACATTAATCATTTTGAATACAGCCCTAATCTGTATTTACTTTTGTGTGTTACAGATCAGCTTTGCAGATCAACAACTCCGCTGCTGCGCATCATTCATGGTGAGTGAATTCAAATTATCTACATTTTTTTATTAAAATAATGGATCTCTATAAGACATAGTCGATTTACGTTTTTTGTTTGCAATGTATTAATACATGTATGAATTGAAAAGTACATAAAAGATAAGAATATTATACGAGGGATAATTTGTTTCTATTCAATATTTAAGATATTTTTATTTGATTTGTGAAAAAGAATTCTTTTATTATTTTATAGTTTTACTCTCGTATATATGAATACAATAAAATATTAGTAATTTTATAATAAAGAAAATCACATATAATGTTATAATGTTATATAATATTATATAAGTATTGCAGAATCATGTATAGAATAATATTATAAATAAAAGTATAAAAAAATAAATAATTTTATAGATCCATTATTTTAGAATGGATAGGCTAGGACTTATTGTTAGATTTGTCGATAGATTTTTAAGCCTAGAATATATTTTACGAATAATAGATCAGAGCGAGATATATTGAATTATTTGGAATGCTTGCAGAATTTTTTTATGAGACAATTAAAAATAATTTTTATATTTCTATATGTTCATATTTATTCAGTAATATTTATTTATTTAGACACATTAACACATAACATGTATTATACATTATTTTGATAACAAAGAAATTTGTTACGGAATTTGATTTGTAAATAATTTCATATTTTGAAAATAATTTCTTATTTTAAAAATAAATTTTTTTGAATTTGTAAATTATATTGTTATTACATAATGAGAACTTGATTTTTTTTTTCATCAAAATTAGCAGTGACAATTTTGTTACAATAGCAAAATGCATTTGTTGAAAATAAATTATTATGATGTAACAGTAAATTAATCTTCACAAATAAATGTATTTTGCAAAGTTTATTTATTTTTCTAAATTTTATCGCATTTAATATCGCTATCACATATGCAATAGCAATGGTGATTTCGTTGCGCTAGTAAAATTCTTTTTCTCTATTTGTTAGATGCATACTCTTTTATTTCTTCCTCTTTCCTTTTCTTTAAATATGATTTGTATTTTTATATTTTGTCAGGGTTAAATATTTTGTAAATTGGCGTAGAAAAGTATAAAAATAAGAGAATTTTGAAATACATATGTGTATGTTATGTAATTATACATTAAAAATAGAAAGGATATATTTTACAGAAGCGCGACGGAAATTAAAAATTGATGTTACATTCGAAATAATTTATTTAAAGAGCGCACTTTTGATTAACGATTTTTGAAATATATTTATTATTGCTATACGCCAATTTCTTCGTGATTTTTCCTAGCTTATCCATACATCCGTGGTCTCATGGCTTAATTGATCCCATGGTTGAGCACGGAAATTCGAAATTCGTGGTCCTATGAATGATGGTCGAACACGGATCTTGAAACAATGTTGATACGATCGACCATTGAATAATGGTCGACTATCAACACAAATTTTAGGCGCAACTAGCGGAAACTGAGCTGAGTTCTGCGCTAGCGTCCTGTGAGAAACTCTTCTCATTTTCTCATTAAACTTTATCAATTTACGGTTTTTAGTACGAAGATTTAGAACTTTTATTAGGTTTTTCTGTTAGATAAAATTTCTGTTAGGTAGGATTTTGTATTAGAGTTTTTGGATAGGTAGAATTTTACAACTTTTTATTACTTTTTTTTTTTAATTCTTTGCTGTCGATAAACTTTGGAGTATGCAGTTTATTGATGACAAAGATAACGACAAAGTTTTGGGTGGGCAAACAGCAAAATTCTATTCTGTGAGAACAGAAGAAGTTTTTTGCATATAAGGATTGTAAAACTTTTTATCACGTTTATATTTTTTAAAAATATTTTTTGCTGTCGATAAACTTCTGCTTTACTAATTGATCCCATAGTCCCAACTGTGCGCTAAGCAACTTGCGAAAAATACGGCGATATGAGCTTTATAAGAGACACTATTGCTTTAAGTAAAAGAAATAAAAATAAAAATTTTTTGGGGTTTGATAATTATTATAAATACACACGGTGTAACTCAATGTTTTCAATGTTTTCGTAAATTTGTCTAAATTTACAGATTGTTTTATTCATAATTTGTCTTTGGACATAGCAAAATTTATATAATTATGTTTTCATTTAATTGCAAATATTTTGCTATCATCAGCTTTTGCTATTATTATTTTACATGAACGATATTATAAAATGAGAAATTATCTAATGCGACAAACGGTTGAAGAGAATATAGTCCATTAAGAATTTCATGAAACTTCTCGCAGGGATTGGCATATGAAGAAGATTTACGATGTAAAGTACGATCGCGCCACATATGACGCAATCCATTTTACTTTTCTACATACCGTCAAACCACACGTGGTGCTACTGGTAATGAAAGAATTGATCGATTGTACATTGTAATTAAATAATTTATCTTGCATTTTGTCATATTCTCATTACTGTGTATGTAACTCTTTTAATTAAGTTAGTAAAAAAACAATGCAGTAAAAAGACAAATGCAGTTACTTTTCCATTTTTACTAAGTATAATTTTGGAAATGAATATTGCGAATAATGCAAAACTTTTTTTTTCCTAAGAATAAAAATGATGAAGGTTAGAATGAAGAATAATTAAAGTGATGAAGTTATTTAATACTTTTACAATGTACACAATTTTTATTGTGTATTTATGAAAATGTTTTCACAATTTCTATCGTTAAAAGAAATACATAAAATACTTTTTACAAAAAAAATTTTGTAAAAGTTAACTTTTTATTTCGCTCAAGGCGCAAGTGAAATTAACAATCGATAATTACATTTTTATTTCTATTATGGATCGTTAAATTGCATGCATGGAGAATTATAGGCAAGCTTATCGTTGCGTTAGAGATTTATGTCAGAACGAAATTTTCTTATATGTCATTTCTTGTTGTTAATATAATACTTTGCTACGCGAAGAACAAAAGAGTTGAAAAGTCTTGTTCTTTTATTATCTTGTTCTTTCATGTTTATACGCCTAACTTGCAAACAAAAACGTATTCTTTCTTGTATATTAAATAGCAAAAATAAAACTTTATATTTTTTTATATCATTGAATTACATTGTCGGCTGCTATAAAATAATTCGTGCAGTCTTATAACCATCTTTACGTGTTTGAAATGCTAACATTTGAAGAATATACCGAAATAATTAAAAGTATGAAAAAAGAATATAGCGTTGAAACTGGTCTAAAGTGATTTCTTAAAAATTAAAATTAAAGATATTAAAATTAGATGTGACACAAATTGAATAATATTATTTCAATTTTATATTTAATTTATATAGAATAATACATGTTTTTTATCAAGTTTTTTATTGATTTTGCAGTTGCTACAACGTTGTTAATTTTTTTGAACACATATAATACCTGTTTTTTATTACATTTTACAATAAAATAGCACTTATTATTGCTTTTACAAATCACAGAAACAAAAGTTAATAATTTCTAAATGCATAGCGAATAAGTATAATAAATCTTTACCTATATCTTGCAGCAATTTTGCTTTGTTAAGATAAACATTTGCTGAATTTAAATCTAATTTGCGCATTTATCAATATTTTTATTTCTATAATAATCATTAGTTCAAGATAATAATTATTAGAAAAATTCAAAAATTTGATGATTTATAAAAGAGAAATGAGAAAATAAGTAAAACTGGTAAATAAATTGGATAGCAAATTTGAAGATATTACTATTTCGTTATTATTATGTTTAAAATAAATTTAAAATAAATATTCTAATTATTTTTAACAAAATATATAATTCTTCTTCTTTTTGCTGCTTTGCTACAAAGTTAATTTTGAGCTCGAAATTTATGTATAATTTTATATATAATATTCACAAATTATTCTAACGCATTCATGTATAACGTTTCAATGATTATAATAGTCATGTGATTTATGATTATTTATTTTTTATTTGGACTTTATCGATTATTTATTTTCTATTTCGACTTCATAGATCGCTATAACACGAAATAAATAATACAATCAATTTTCAAAAACACGAAATAAATAATACAATCAATTTTCAAAAATTTTTGATTTAATTTACTTTTATAATCAGTGCCACATAAAATATGTTATTAAACGTATTTACATACATGAATCTCTCTCATTTGTGTTATACATATGTTGACAATATATTACACATTATTTATCACATAAAATTTTATCGATACATTAAATTCAAAAGCTTGGATCTTGAATTACCAATTTCACTTATTTATTATTATGATAATATTTTTATAATTTTATGCATCAAATTTTTGTTAATTAACCCCAAAAACTTACTTATTATCAATTTAAAATTGTTCTAATTAATACAAATTAATCGGAATATGATATAAATGATATGTTATAAATGATAAAATTGAGATTTTTTTAGATACGAGGAAATAATCATTTGAAGAAGAGATAATAAACAATGAGAAAGTTAAATGTTATAAGTCACCACAAAGAGAAAAATAAAAGTTAATACCGGTAAATGTTAATTTTTGTGTATCACCAACAGACATGGAAAGTACTAAATTATTTATTTATACATATTTGTATAAAAATCAATAAAGTAGAATTACCTTAAACGTCAAACTCTTATTATGACAAAACGGCATTTATCCACATCATATTCTTTTTACACCTCTACTGTGTATCAGAAGAGTAAATATATATTTTATCGTCTTTCTCTACGTACCCACCGGACCATAAAGCACAATAAATTCCACAATGTTGGACTGTTTTATCAGTGCTGAACCGAGAATATAAAACATATGTTTAACTAATTTAAAAGTAAAATAATAAGTAATAAAAAGAATTAACGAATAATGAATTATTGCAAAACTATCACAAATAAAATTAAATTGATGGAATATTTCGCATTAAAAATACATTTTATTAAATGAGATTGAAAAATAACAAGTAGGACAGTTTAATGATAATATGCTAAAATTTAAAACTAATAAAATTCTCAAAATAAAGATTAGAAATTTTTGAACAAAATATCTTTTACAGAATTGGTCAAACTTTTTATAACCATCATAGATACTAATATTTCGAACTCTTTAATTAGAAATTTAATAATAAAGATAAATAAAGCATAATTGTAAAAATAAAAGATATAATTAATTGTATAAGTGCGTGCAAATACCTCGGAACTGGTTTGAGCTTTCTGAGAATTACATCGTTACCGATTTTTATCCAATCCCAGGTTTTCTCTTCAAAAGCATTTATCACTTTTTCGTCAGTTTTAATCATAATATTTGGCGCCGCATTTATAAAGTCATAATTACTTAATTTCAAAGTTGTCTGCATTGTTATCAGTACGAAACGTGGTAAAGTTATGAATTTTCCCTAAAGAAATATCAAATTATTTTCTGAAATTTTTATTCTCTTATTTCAAAATATATTAAAACAATGTATGGATCGAAATATGTTTAACAATCTTAATGTCAGTTCGTACTTTCAATGCTAAAAGAACATTTCTAGCAACATTTCTATCAACAAATTATTTATATTGCACATGTTTATACTAGTTTATACTAGTTTCCATATTTGTGTTATAGAGATCACTTAATTAATTAAAATGTAGATATCAATTGAGCAATGTCTTAATGAATATGCTTTGTTTTTAGAAAACTAACAGTAAGGAAAGTAATAAACTTAGCTGGTTGAAGTTTAAATCGTTTCTAGAGCGATTTTTGAAAAATGATTTGTCACTCTTCTTTTTTTGCACAGAGAAAGTTCAAGACCCTCACGCGAAATACATAGGGATCGAGACCGATCCGATATACCTTGCGGAAGACACCACATTCCAGAAACTACCCCAGATCACTTAAAATTCATTTTAATATACTATATTGTACTAAATATGATGATGATACATAATAGAAATTTTATTATGTGATTAAATTTTGTGGATGATACTTAGAAGTTTCTTTCTGCAAAAGGAGAAATGAAACAATTTCATCAGATTTTTTGAGTATCTTGCGCAAGGTGTATCAGCTCAGTCTCTTTTGTATTTTGTTTGTGGGTTTCAGAACTTCTGTGCAAAAGGAGAAATGCGATAAATTATTTTTCAAAAATCGCCCCAGGAACGTTCCAAACTTCAACCAGCTAAAAACATGTGTAACAAATGTTTAATTAAATTTTAGCAATTACGCTCGCGATACAGAGCACATTGTAACTCTATCTCTTATATTTGAAAATATAAAGCAAAAGCAGAAAATGTATTTTATGCTTTTTACTTCAGTCTTTTATTTTTATAACAAACTAATTTGTGCGTACAAAAATCAATGCATATTAATAATTTTATTTCTAAATACAATAATGGTTATTAATTGAATATTATATATGTATTAATTACCGTTTCATCTTTTTCCATAGCTTCGTACCCTTGCACAAAGCGAAACCAATTGTTTTTTATTCCTTCTGTCGAATTTGGATTACGCGGATTCATTTTTGACAAAATTATATCTTCGTCAGTTTCATTTATCTCATTAGATTGTATCACGCTATATTTTTATTTTTTAGTATTCAGATACAAGAATTATAAGCATTAATAGAGGTTACTGGATACTTACTCTTTTAACCATGTATTAACGTGTACATCTGAATCAGAAAATGCCTCCAAAGTTTCATTCCATGTCTCTTTCACGAATACATTGGCAGAATTGCGATATTGTTGCATATTCAATATTAGTTCACTGCTGGACTTAGTGCGCAATGTTACTTCGTTATGGCCTGAGGGCCATGTTTCCAATTTTCCCAATGCAGGGTATTTTCGGCTATCTTCGAATTTCTCTGTTCTTTTGTTATACACTGCAAACATTCTAATAAACGTGGAGTGAATATTATTTATTATATTCAGCTTATTGTGTAATAAAAATTATTCTTTCGCATAATTTATTTAACTGTGAACATAGTGGAATGAATTTTACGATAATACTTTAGTTTAACTTTTATGTTTAGATTCGAAAAATTTTATTATTTTGAAATTTTATTTAAGCAAGAAGACAGGATTTTGTACTTACCCGTCCCAAATATCTGTCCCGAAATTCTCTGTACACATTCCATAATCGCAAAATTTAAATGAATTATAAGACACTGACATTTTACTCGATTTCACTAGATATATCAACAAATTCGTTACTTGACCAATTTCTTTCCAATTTGGATTATGTAAAGTAGAATACTCGTTGTCAACATCGCGCCTTCTTTCAGTTTTCACTTTTTCTCTTGCTTGTTTGTAGGAGCGAGGATTTCTTTTCATCGTAGATTTAATAACTTTATATCCTACTACGACGATCGCCGTAATTGCAACACTGCTCATTAACATTTTTGGTATATCGCTCTGGAATCACATTAATTTGCGTGACAAATAGTTGATTTAAAATTTTTTAAATATTTAAATATAGGTTCGTATTATATAAAGACAAATAACAATGAGATGACAATAGAGAATTTCGAGCCGATGCATGTTGTATAATACTTGTATTTCATTCTTCATGATGTTAGAACAATGATTAATTAACATTTTTTTTTACCGATAACACGAATTATTAAACTATTAAACGTTTCGGTCAGTATCTGATCATCTTCAATAATAAAGTATAATATGTAATATAATATTACATATATATATAAAGGTAGTTGACCAAGTATGTTTATATGTATATTCAGCTCAAGCTTCGAGAATGCGAGAGAGTGATGTGAAATACTGGTAATTTAATTGATTATAGGACAATACATTGTTAACGGAAAAGAAGAATGTTAATCAATCATTGTTTTAACATGAAGAATTTAATATAAGCATTAAGCAGCTTACATTGGCTCTAAATCCTATATTGTCTTCTTATTCTTATTCAAATCGTCACATTTTATATTTTTTTTTGTTATTTAAAAATCTACTTTTTTGCATATTGCTTATCTTTTTATTTTCAAATGGCAAACATTTTAGTCGATAATTACCATTTTGTCGGTGTGTAGTTAACGATGAACTTTATCTGCTTTACTTTTCCACTTTTTATTATTTCTACTGACAATTAGTATTATAGTCTCTTCGTTCTTTTTGCTTTTCAATCTTATCTACGAATGATCATACACTCTTATTGGTTTGTCGGTTCATCGTAAACTGAAATCTACAGCTTGCGCCGTTGGTTTTTACATTGTTTCATTTATGATGTTTGCAGTCCTATGATAGTTTGTTATTGATGTTATAAGAGACAGAGTGTCTGACAATCGAATGAGTGGCCGGAAATTCGTTACATTTTACAAATTTTTGCAGGAGTTTAGCAATACTACACACGTATGTTCATATTTCGGAACTATTTACAGTACTTTATATAGGACGTTTTTCTACGTTTTTTTTTGTCCCCTGCCAGCTTGTTGTTAAATGTTAAATGTTAAATAGAAAATATATAATTTTTTATTTTTTTATATTACTAAATTATATTGTCAACTGTTATAAAATAATTCGGGCAGTCTTATAAACATCTTGACGTGTTTGAAGTACTGACATTTTTAAGAATGTACCGAAATAATCAAAAGTATGAAAAACGAATATAGCGTTGAAACTGGTCAAAAGTGATTTCTTAAAAATTAAAATTGAAAATATTAAAATTGGATGTGGAACAAATTGAATAATATTATTTTAATTTTATATTTGATTTATATATAATATCCCATGTTTTTTATTAATTTTGCAATTGCTACAACTCTGTTAACTTCTTTGAACATATAATATCTATTTTTTATTACATTTTACAATAAGGTGACACTTATTATCTCTTTTACTATTTAAGGAAAGAGAAATAAATTATTTTTAAATGCATAGACACAATATAATAAATCTTTACCTATATCGTGCAGTAATCTTGTCTTGTTGAGACATTTGCTATTTAAATATTGTGCAAATTAAATTTAATATTGCAATTTAAATATAGTTTGCGCATTTATTGTATATCTTTAATTTCTAAAATAATAATTACTGTAAGAAGATAATTATTAGCAAAACTCAAAAATTCAATGATTTATTATAGAAAAATAACACAATAAATAAAACTGGTAAATAAATTGATTTAAATAGAAATGTTGGAAATATCACTATTTCCTTATTAGTATGTTTAAAATAAATATAAAATGTATATTTTAATTTTTTCAAAGCATAGAATTTTTCTTCTTTTAGCTACTTTGATACAGAGTTAATTTTAAGCTGGAACTTATATATAATTTTATGTATAATATTCACAAATTTATCATGGGAAAAAAATGTGTAATGCATACATGTATAATGTGTATATCTTTTAGTGATTATAAAAGTCATATGTTTTTATGATTATTTTGAGCTATTAGACTTTATAAATCGATATAACATCAAATAAATAATACAATCAATTTTCCAAAATTTTTGATTTAATTTTATAAACTATGCCACATATAATATGTTATAAACACGTTTATATACATGAATAATTTGTATTACACATATATTAAATTTGAAAATATTATTTACTACACAAAATTATATATGACATCCGTCTTGATTTCAGTCGCAAATAGTAAATTTTATTTTTAGAACTGGGAGAAATGTTTTACAGTCTAGCAAGCATATTCCTATAAAGTTATCAGAGAAGTTGTTTTTTATATATGCATGAAATAACTCGGTATTAAAAAAGATAACAAATAAATCATGGGAAAATTAAATGTCGTAAGTGACCATGAAGATTAAATTATGTTAATATCAGTAAGATGTTTATTTTCGGGTATCGCCAAGAAATATTGAAAGCACTAAAGTATTTATTTACACTTATCTTTATTTGAATCAATAAAATAAAATTAAATAGATTAACACAAAGGATTTAAAAATAATTACGAGCTGTTCTATCAATCTAAAATTAAATAGATCAAATGTTAAATGTATTATGATTAGAATATTATACATCAGAATGAAAAGACTCAGAATCAATATATACTTTATCGTATAATTTTACGTTTCCGCCAGTCCATAATGCGCAATAAATTCCGAAATGTTTGAATTCTTCTTCAGATGGACGCCTGAATCGACAAAATGAAATATATGTTTTAATAATTTACATATAAAAAATTAAGTAATGAAGATAATCAAAGCAGTGAATTGTTAAAAGAATAATATTAAAAATAAAATTATAAAAGACGAATATTTTGTATTTTAAAATACATTTTGTTAAATGCGATTGTAAAATGGTAATTAGAACAGTTTTATGAAAATATGTCAAAATTAAATTATAATTCGTCAGAATAGAAAGTCAGAAATTTTTTAGTTGAGTATCTTTTTTACATCATTGATTAAGCTTTTATATCCATCTAAAATATTTAAAGCTTATATTTTGAACTTTTCAATTAAATGTTTGATAATAAACGCGAGCAAAGCATAATTATATTATCAGAAATATAATTAATTATATACATGCGTGCAAATACCTCGGAACTGGTTTCACATTTCTAAGAATTATTTCATCGCCAATTTTTATCCACTTCCAATTTTTCTCTTCAAAAGGATTTATCAATTTGCCAGTCTCAATGATAATATTTGGCGTTAAAAAACTATGTCTTGTATCTAACTTTACAAATGTCTTTGATGTCATTAGTACAAAACGTGGTAAAGTTATAAATTTTCCCTAAAGAAATATCAAATTATTTAACTAAAGTTTTTTATTTTTAAATATATTATAAAACAACATATTGCTGTGTGTATATAAGTTCAATCATTTTGATATCAATTTGTGCTTTTTATTGATAAAATGACATTTCCAATAACATTTATATCAAAGAATTATTTGTATTGCACGTGTTTATACCATTTTATATTTGTGTCATTGATATAGAGATTAATTAAGCAATGCCTTAATGAGTGTGTCTTGTTTTAAAAGATTATGAATAAAAAATAAAATAAATAATGCTTTTAACAAATGTTTAATTAAATTTGAGCAATTGCTGCATAGTTCATATTGTAAACTTGCTCTTATGTTATAAGGGAAAATATAATTTTGCTTTTTACTTTAATCTTTTGTTTTTAGTAATTTGCGTAACAAATTAATTTGTGCGTATAAAAACTAACACCAGTTGATAATTTTATTTCTACAATAATAGTTATTAATTGAATATTATGTATTAATTACCGTTTTCTTTTCAAATTTCATATCTTCGTACCCTTGACGAAAGCGATACAAATTTTCTTTTATCCTTTGTGTAGAGTTCCAATTTTGTGGAAGCATTTGCGCCAAAGTTATATCCACATTAGCCTTGTTAAACTCGTTAGGCTCGACAATCTCGTTAGTATTTAGCACTCTACATTATTAGTATTCAAATATATAAATTATAAGCGTTAATAGAGATTACTGGATACTTACTCTTTCAACCATGTATTAACGTGTAGATCCGAACCATAAATCGTTTCCGAAGTTCCATTCCATGTCTCCTTCACAAAACGATTGGAAGGATTGCGATATCGATCTATATCCAATTTTACTTTATTGAGCACTCTGTGGCTGCTTAATGTTACTTCGCCAGTATTTGTCAGATTCGCTGTCACTGATTGTAGAAAACGGTATCTTTGGCTATCTTCAAATTTATCTTTTGTTTTGTTGTACAGTAAGAACATTCTAACGCGGAGAGGATATTATATATTATTAACTAATTTTTAACCAATGGTATAATATAAATTTTTTTCGAACAAATTATTTAAATGGGAATAAAACGAAATAAATTTCACAATAATACTTTGTTATTTTACCTATTTTATGTTTAGATTTTGCAAATTTTATCATTTTAAAATTTTATTTAAGTAAAGAGAAAACAGCATTATTTATTATCATACTTACCCGTCCCAAAAATATGTTCCGTATTCCTGTCTACACATTCCATAATCACAAAATGCAAATGAATCATAACGCACTGGTTGCGCACTTGATTTCACTGGATATATTATCAAATCATCTACTCTACCAATTTTTTTCCATTGCACATTATTGGGATTGTCAACATTGCCAACGGATGCTCGTTTTTTATAAGTTTTATATCCTATTATGAGAGCCTCAATTACAACACCAGTTATTGCGCTTTTTATAATCGTGTCCTGGAATCATATTAATTTGCGTGATAAATAATCATTTTTAAACTTTATTTCGTTATTGTAAAATTGTATTTGCATATTGTTTACATCTTTTTATAATTTTCAAATTGTAAATATTTCAATACGTACCATGTTGTCGAATATCAATTTGACGAATTCCATTGTGTAGTTGACAATAAATTTTTATCGGCTTCCACTTAAGTTTTTGCACTGTTGAAATAATTGCTTCTAGTATACGATATCGTTAGATGAATATCTTGTGAATTGATTTTCTCTTCGATCGTGGAACTTATCAATCTTATTCAATAAATGATTATACACTGTTCTTGATTTGCTGATTTACAATGAACTGAAATCTACAGTTTGCGCCGAGTGTTTCTCCTTGTCTTGTTTCGTATATTATGTTTTCAGTTCTTCGATAGCTTGTTATTTACATTATACATGGGAGGAAAGAGAATGTATAGTATTTACACTTTTAAGCCAATATCGCTGCGGATTAAAGATATAAATTTGCTTATTATGTCGTAATTTTTTATATATTTTAAAGATTGATAGTTTGTGTGATGTAGATATTAATTTTTAAATCTTTTATATGGAATTTTACGTATTTTCAAAAAATATTAGCATATTAGTATCGCACATTAAATTTTTGTATTTATTAAAAAATTCTAATTAGAAAAAGAATACGTTTTTTGAATTTTTGTTACAGATATAATTCAGAATAACAGCGACAATTCAATTGTAAAATTTTTATTTCGTTGAATTACAATGTGAAATGTTACATAATATTCTTCGACTTTCATATATTTAATTTCGTAAAGTATGGTAATCGGTATTTGACATATACTGTCAATATTAAACAAACATTTTAATTAGTATAAATGATTAACAACATTTCAATACTATGTTTATATTTTATTTCTGATAAGAGTTTTAGCGGGGTTTTATTATTTTACTTTTAACTTCTAATGTATTCATATTGTAATACACAAAATCGTAAACTCTAAATACTGCTAATTGTAATTGTACAGTAAGTTTATTGTAATTATACAGTGTTTTTGGTGTAAGAAAAGCATAAAAAACGTGCTCGAGTAGTTTAAGCGCAGCATAGCCGCGACGACTGACGCGCAAAAAATTATTTCATAGTTTCTGATTTCTCTTTTTTTTCCATCATTACCTGCATCAGAAACTGTCGAACGTGTCATATTCCACGCGATGACATTTCAGTTTTATCTCGGCCTAATATAAACAAGTACGCGTCGAGAGTACAGTTGAAAACATCGCACGATTTTCGTATTCTTTCGAAATCAGCTGCGTGAATATCTTAAAGAACTGCAAAGACTGAGAGGAAGAGATTTAGAAAGGACATTGAACGCTAGCGAAGCAACATTTAGATAATTAATTATTTATTTATTATTTATTATTCGCACAAAATATTCCATATAAAATATTATGTATCGTAACGCACATAAAATATTTGAAATATTCAGGAAAATGTTTAATAAGAAATTTGTAACATTTAATGTTTATGATTATGGGATCTTTTAACATTTATTATTGTTTATTATTTATTATTGTTGAAACAATTAAGTTTTTGAAACAGTCGCTAATGTAGATGTTCTTCAATTCTCCCGGGCCCCCAGAGGCCCTTTGTTAGTCACGGAAATTTATCCTGTCGGTATTTCACTGATGCTCCTTTTCACTGAACACACTTAGACCTTTCGTTTGTTGCCCATCGATGGCGCATCTGCTATGAAAGAGATTCTCTTCTTAAAGTTAATATGCCTTATGATAATCGAAATTTTTAAAAAATATTTTATTTCGCGATATTTAATCTTTTTACGCAGAAAAGTTTAGAAACTTTTTTTAATTTGTTGAAATACAATTTTAAAATGTTAATAGATGTAATATATTTTTTTGAAAAGTAAATTTTAAACTCTTATATTAAAATATTAAATACCTTTAATAAAAATTAACTTATTTCACTACAAATTTTTGTACTAGTTCTTGTTCATTTAATAACTATTATTCAAAATATCGTTTTAAAATATTCTAAGAGAATGCTTTGCATGTTATTATAATTTAAAAACGAGTCAAAATATATCCCTTTAGACACAATTAAAATATAAAATGCAAGGTTAAAAGATCTATGTAAAAAGTAACAAAAAATTACATGTTTAGAAGTATTACATATAAAATTATAGAAAATGTGTATATTAACTTTTCTTTATTTATAATAAAACAACACATTTGTAATAAAGTATTCAATATTACATTTTCGATAATTTTACTCCAAGGCGGTATGAATGGAAGGAAGTGCAACAGTTGCTGACGTCCTGCATACGCGTTTCAACTTCACAAAGAATAAAGCGCAATACTTGTAGTACAAGGCGCTAGAAGATTTACATATTTATGGACGGACTTATTACCTGAAGCGCGTGTACGGTTGCCGTACGAGGCATTACAAGCGGGTGCGATGTACCGTTGATCGCCGTGGGCGTCACAGCTTTGCTCTCCTCTCCTCTCCACCAGTTTCTTCTCATCTCAGCATCCGTCCCGTACGGAATATAATTCCCGATGGATTCGAAGAATCAAACATGTTCGTGATGATGTCCGACCGCGTCCAAAATTACAGGGCGCACTGTGCTGCATGAGCATTTCGATTAGGGCTATTTGCAAGCATACTCTTGCGCATTCGATTGCGATTCGAAGGTTTAATGTCGATGTAATTCGATTATAAAGTAGATAGGGAAAAGATAAAACTCATAAAATAAGATACAAATTTTAAAATTAACAGTAAATAAATTAATTTAAATTCTTGACGCATTAAATGTTCAAATAGAACGATGATAAATTATATTAGATTAATCAGTTGTCCTACATTTTATTGATTTTTAATCTAAAGGAACTTGTTATAAAAATCTACAAAGTGTTACAAAAAATATTCGCAAAATTTCCTTCTGATTTTGAAAGTTTATACATCGCGCAATAACTTTGACAACACATGTACAGAATAAAGAATCTTTGATGAAATTGCGAAAGCAAAATAAAAAAGATGCGCGGAATTTACAAAACAAATTTCATTATATGCGAAGGCGAACGATTTGTAGTAATGAATGTGAGACACAAGAAGCAAATAACGGATCATGAATTTTATGAAGAACATGTACGCAAAAATGTATGAACCGTGACATTGCTTTTTCTAAAAATTTCAATTTATTTGTAAACTTTGCGAATATCGATTTTACACATCAAAACTCTCTGACATCATGATAAAAGATATTGACATGATTTGCATAACGTTATATGTCATACAAATCATGTCAATAGATAAATATAAATAAAAACTATATAAATTATCTTGCAGAAACCATAAGTAGTACAAGTATTGTACAAGTAAAGTTCTCGAAGATGAAAAAGAGTCTTTAAAACAAGGGGGAACATTAATATAACAACTAACAAAAAATAAATTTCGAATGAGTATATGTCTAAACAATAAAACGCTATATTAACTTATTCATTACTTTATTATTACAATAATTTATATTACAGTAGTAATTGATACTGCTATTACAATTTGATTTATTTGATAATATTTGCAATAATCGTCTGCTAAATCATCATTGAAAAAACTACGCAAGATTATTATTATTATTAATTTCCGCAGTTCAAAATAATTAACGTTTCTATTGTAAAATTAACTTTTTTTTTAATATGTAAGAATATTGCACATAAAATCAAAACTAAAGTCGAAAAATTTTAAACGTGTACTACAACGATAGATGTAAATGACCGACCATGAACCTTAAAACCATCAAAGTATGAAGCAGCGATAGGACAAAGCACTGTAAAGTTCAATATCCGAAATACACACATAGTTATACTTCGCTTCGATCATGGTTAGGAACCGTTAGATATTCTTTTTTTATTATGATGACGTGTACTCTTTATTGACAGAATCACTCTTTTAAGGAGGAATGCTAATGCCATTCATCGAGCCTAAAATCAAATTAAAATAATAGTTTAAATTTTTCAAACGGCTTTTTTCTGATTTTTAAATATTGACTATATATACAATATTAATTGTAGTGTAATTTAAATATTAACATTAGAAACTTTAAATTTTTTTGTACGGTTAATAATATCTATGATGGGTTACTTCGAAATAATTAGGTCACAGAAAATTAACGACCTATTGCTTCCAACATAATTACTTATTTTTTTATTTATTCAAATATTCTTTATATTTTAATTTTTTAATTAAAAAATGCCAAGCAAAAATAAACGAATCCGAAGTCACGACTTATAAAATCAGTTGTATCATATTTTTTTTATCAAACTTGAAAGGAATTAGACCGTTCAATTCTAATATTCGTCATAATTACAAAACTGCAAAGACATGTGTTCCGGTACAAAAGGATTAATAATGCAGTAAAGTAGCAAATAAATACCGAATATAAACTCATTAAGATTACAACATGACATACAACATTTAATACTATAATAAAGAGAGATACCGCTGTACCACACACATATACAACACACACATATACAACACACACACTAGCTTTATAATTTCTGCGGGCATGAATCATTCGTCGATTATGATTAACTGGTTCGTGTAATAATTAGAAATAATTTTACTTGTAAATCGTAATAAATTTTATAAAATTAATTTAAAAAATCAACAAATTACTGAAAGAAATGACGACAACAATTTGTGATTGTTCCTAAAGTAATGTTTTTGTTATACTTATATTATTGATTTTACTATTTAGTCAGAATATAGTTAAAGCTTAAATTTTGTATTATATAACGATATAACATGTCAAATTTGATCATGAAAACCTGACTTCATAATCGTAACAAAAAAAATGATGATAATAAACGATATTCCGCAACATATAGTTATTAAACTAATAATAAAAACAATTAAAGCTAGTAACCTGATTTTTCGCAAATTAAATTTTCAAATAGCAATAACTCGAAACTACAAAATTGCGCATTTGTGGTTTTGGCATAAACGCGACGTTACATGTTTTTCTCTTTAAGTAGAATATATTTTTTGGTGTTTTTATAAAAATTAAATCAGTTGTATTCTATTGTGCGTAAATAATAAATTTGTTAGTTTATTAGTTAAGAATAATCAACAAGGATCTTTTCGTAGAAATAAAAATGTTGAAACGTGTAATTTTATATTGATGGGACTAAACAATGTTGCACTGTTGCTAACATCTGAATTGGTACCTCGGCAACGGTGGTACGGCGGTGTACCAAGAGAAATAAACAGATTGTTATTGCTCGAGCCGCTCTGCAGCGCGATATTATCATAAAATACCGGTTCCCAAGCTATCGGTCACGGTATCCCACGGAAA